TACAATTAACATATTATTTTTCAATAGATGATGAATTATCTTTTCAAATTAGTTAATAAATTCTTGTTCATTATTGTGTGGAGGTCTGTACAAACAAACAATTAAAAAATTCAAGTCATCATTAAAAACAATACTATTTACAATTTTAATATTTACAACGCAAAACTCGAAGGAATTGGCTTTACATAGCTTCTGAACCATGTTATTTCTATTTGACACTTTAAGACTAAACATACTATGGTTGTTATAGTAGATACAAACACCACCACCCAAACCTGAACCTCGACAAAATTTAGAGACACAAGTAAAATTAGGAACAATAAGAGGCTCGTCCTCATGCAGCCAGTGTTCCGAGAGACACAGTATGTCTGGAGGCTGGCTCCAGGAGGCGCAAAGCTCATCTATTTTGTGTCGTGCACTTCTTATGTTGAGATGGTAAATACAAAAATCAGTTGACGTTAATTTGTCGGGTTCAAGTCTGAGTCGAGTGCCCTTTCTAAAAAATCATTTTCAAACGGAGATTTTGCAATTGCTGGCAACGGTGGGAAGTTATCATTGGAAGAGAATGTGGACTCTCTGAAGGAACTATTGATGTTAGGGGTCTGGCTTTCTCTGAATGGCTCTGCTGATGATGGGGAGGAAGGTGAAGGCTGTGGTGAAGTTTGAGATGTCACATCAGGGTAAGGTTCAATAAGAGAGGTTGTGTTGAATAAGGCGTCTACGGCAGTAGGGGCACTTCTCTCAGCAGATGGACCACCTCTTTCAGCTTCACACATCCTGGAAGGTGTAACAAGACCATCAGTTACAACCGGAGCTGGGGTAGATGACTGACTCTTGGCTCGCCTGATGAACTTGGTGATGTGACTAGCTAAACTCTGTTTACCACGCCGGCTGTAGTGGAGTCCATGTCTTGTAAAATCCTGTCTCTTAAGGACGGTGTTTACATCATGATAAAACAGTTTGAGGTTTCCAGTATAGTTTTTTATTGCATTTGCTAGAGTGTGGTTACTGAAGTATATGTTGTTATTGAGTGAGGAGTCATCGTGACGATAAGGCACACTGTTGATGAGGATGTTGGTTTTGAGTTTAAGTGAAAGGAGTGATCGTATTCCCTGTGAAATAGTAAGCTGGGATGGTTCTTTGTAATTAATGCAGATCGTTTGTACCAGCCAAAATAATGATAAAGTCGTCTTCATTAAAATCCTTAACCATGCCCAGGCCGTCATGAATCACATGCTTCAGTTTGGCGCCTGATTTTGCATATACAAACACTTCATAGTCCTTCTCTAACTCCCCCAGGTAATTAGCAAACTCTTTTCCTTGGCTGTCAGCCAGTATTGTAATTCTCTTCCTTCTAGTTACAGAAGTTACAGTGGGATGAGCCTCAAATGTTACTGGCACCGATTCAGGTGTTGCCGGTCTGTGGACCTGAGCTTGGACTTGAACCAGGTGACCACGAGATTCAGATGGCGAGGATTCAGTTGCAAGAGCCGCAAACCTGTTGTTTACAATAGTCGAGTTTAATTGATCCGGAGTTTTACTTGGTTTAAAGGATTTTTTAGGTGTGATGAATTTTCTGTCTTTAGATAAGGTCGAAGATGGCAACTTGTTTTTTTCTTTTTCTTGTAGACGAAGATAATCAGATTGAATTAAATTTATTATTGAGTTTTTGTTTTTGATTTCTTCTTTCAGTTGACACAGAGACGCCTCCATCTTCTCTATCTGAAGTTTTAACTGCTTAATTTCTTGCTCAACGTTTTCTTCATAACATAAAGAGTTCTCAAAATTTTCTTTCCTTTTAAGCTTTTCACTTTCTAGAAGTCGTGTTAGTAGCTTATTTTCTTCCGAGAGCTGAGAAAGATTTTCTTTTAGATCAATATTTACAGTCGTTGAAGCATCTAATTTATTAAGGACTCCAGTAATGTCAGGTATCAGGTCGACAATAGCATCACTGCTATATTTATCTGAAATTGCAGAGAGTGTCCCTCGAAGATTAACAGCAAAGTCGATTACTTCATCGTTAACTAGTTGTTCTTTTAAATTGCTGAGGTCTTTCTTCGCTTCACGCAATAAATTTCCACGTCCTCGGTGCGTCAAAGGTCCAGTCATTTTCTTAGCTCCTTCGAACTGCTATCGGGCTGTGTGCAGTACAGTTGTGTGTTGCGGGACTGCCTATCTGTATTTGCAGGTGCAACGGTGATCATACACTGAGTTTCAGCGATTGCTGAGAGATGTCGTGAGCGTGTACTTATGGCGTGTTGCAAGCTCCCACAATATTTACCGCAGATTCCCTTGAGCTGCAAACCTGACTCTCTAATGCGCATGCGCGGATTTCGAATTTGAACTCAACGGCAATCTTGCTACAATAATATTGAAATCCTGTCTAACCTATCCTAACGGTCAGAATTATTGCTCATTGATATTATTAATGTCTATTGAGAAAATAAGATTTAGCTAATGTATATCAAGATCTAAAAATAAGTAGCTAATACAGATCGTTGTTTACTCACTAAACTCGTCGTTTAAAAGAAAAATAACTAAAAATTCCTTCAGCACATTAACTAGCAGACTAATCGGTAGGTCAGGCCTACCACCCCTGTATATTTTAAGTAATGTTTGTAACAATCAACAAGACAAACGTGACAATCTTATAGAATATATTGTGATTTAATTAAACATTTCTGACTGTAACAACACTGTAAATAAAGGGACGGAAGAGTGACTGCAATCAAATGACTGAAGAGTTTGACAGAGAAATTGCGGATGCAACTGTGACTGGACTGATATGTGTGAATCGACCTTTAAAGAATAAATTTGTTGACTGTGACGTGACTGATTTGACTGTACTGTGGCATGTCGGAACCGATATGTGTGAATCGACTTGTATGCCTATGCTGGCCAAAAAGTACCTACTTAGCCTTTGTAAATAACTTAAGGTACCGGTAGCCTAACAATAAGGTTTTGTACACTTGACATCAGCATAGAATCTACGGCATAGATATTGACCAATATTGATGTGACAAAGTTCTAATTGCGTACGACGACAATAAATCATTTCATTTCATTTAATTTGACGATATGAGAATCACATTAAATAAGAAGATTCAGATAGGCTAAGAGCATTTATATCGGGTACAGTTCCTTAACTGGGCTATACTAATATCAATTAAAACTATCGAATTTAAAATATTGATTAATAATCGATATTTTTAAATATATCTAGGCCTATTATAAAATTAAACTATCATAACCTAACCTAACCAACCAAATTTGGTGATCGTGAAAAATCGCATGAAGGTTTACTAATCGAACCGATAGTTTCAATTGATATTAGCATAGTCCAGTTAAGAAACTGTACCCTTCCATGATTGTACTGTAGCTAAACCTTCTGTACAGTGTAGTCCTACTGTACTTCGAATTTGAATAGTAAAGACTAGGGCCTACAGAGGAGACGACAAACCCTTGGCTGTCAAACTGTGAAATTTCCGACCAAGAAAAAAAATAGTTTTATCGGTAAACTCTTAATACAATTTGTGCAGTACTTACCAATTATTAGGATACTGAAATAAGGTAATCAACTTAACTTGTGTGACAACGAAACGAAACGAAAAGATTGAGAGAAAATAAATTGCTTAGCAGCCTTGGCTAGACTAACGCCATCACCAAGCCAGTCTTGGTCTTGCTTGACAGTTGACATTCACATCACATCACATCTCACCTCACTCAACCAACACTCAACAGTTCATCATCACATCTAGTCGCCTCGCCATTAGGTGCGCTGGTGGTTGGCGCGCTTTGACGTTCGCAACAGTTCGTCTTAACTGCCGCTAGGTATCTCCTCTGAGTGGAATTTAATTTACAGTTCTCGCTCTGGTTTTGTAGAAGCTGGTACATGACCTGCCCAATTTGCTCTGAACCATTTTAACTTTCTCTTCCGCCTCCATGTGCATGCATATCTAATCAATGTTTTAAAAGCCGAGAGTCGTGTCTCTTACCTGAGACCGATGATTGGCTTATAATACTCAATCCTCTACTAGTTGTAGTCGTCACTCAGACGAGACCTTCACGATAGAACACCACCGTGGGTGGCTATAATTGTGCCCAATCGTCCTAAAACTAAAAATATTACTTATATTAAACTAAAAAATTCTAAAGCCCCAGGTTCAGCAGGTCTCCTGTCTCCTCACACGACCTCAGTCCAGTCCCAGTCTTCAGTCCAGTCCAGTCAGTAGTCCAGTCTCCAGTCCAGTCCCAGTCTCAGTTCTCTCCCAATGGTTGTCAATGTCAAACTGTTGTTGTTGTCAGACCGTAGAAAGTGGCTCGTAAAGGTTTCCCGCTAAAATGTTTTTTATACAAAAAAAAACTATATAAACTAAAAAAAAAAACATGTTTCCCCATAGATAAGGTGTTATTATCTCTATGGGTAGCTTCTCTATTACTTTCAAATAACTAAATTTAATATACCATGTAATCCTCACTTAATCCAATTTTGATGATTTATTTTTCATTTTGGTACTGCTAATAAACTTTTTGACGTTTCAAAACCTATATATAAGAGAAATGTGTTTTTGTCTGTTTGTTCATCTTCAAAATATTCAAATATTCATACTATCATATAATTCGTTGCTTATGTATTTATCGTAAAAATTGTGTTAATAAACTTTCTTTACCCTCAACCATTAACTATTAATATACAGTATATTATGGTATATTATATGTATGATTATATCAACTGTATTAATAGTAAATGTCTAAATCCAGAAACAAAGTTTTAAGCACCAGCTTTCAAATACATCGTTGTACTGTATTGTGTTGTTATGCTGAATTTAGTTAAGTGGCAAGAAAAAGATTTGCATTCCATTAATGCAATCTACATTATATACATTTTATACTGTACGTTCTTGTTGGATATTTTCTATAGGTGGTTACTTTCTTTAGTGTTCTTTGAAATATTCACTTTACCAATCAGAACGAACCAAGTTGATTGGTTGGCATTGTCAACATCATCGAAACTAAAGCTTGGAAGTTGGAACTGAAATGTAATCCATGTGTGGCCCTATTTTACTCAACTCAACATAACCACAACATAATATAGCTAAGATACCTACAATTTATTTATTTTTCTACTAATTAAATTTGATATTAGTTATAATGGGAGCCGAAGTGAGGTGGTTGTGTTTTAGTGCATTACTACTTTGTTTGTTGAGTGGCATTTTAAGTAATGCTCCATTCTCTAGATTTGAGTACAAATTTAGTTTTAAACCTCCTTACTTAGCACAAAAAGATGGGAAAGTGCCGTTTTGGGAATATGGAGGAAGTAAGTATATAATGTACAACCTAAACACATTACTTAAATATTTAAATGTTATATTTTCTTAGGAATGTAACTTTGATCACATTTTCTTCAGGCCTAGGGCCTACATATGCTTAGTAGTTAGGCCTAACTTACCAAATGTGCTATGTTAGGTGCGACCTCAACTTCTGACATATTGCCAGCTTTTCCATCGACTTGTAACTGGTATTAAAATGTCATGTTTATATTAACCCTCCGAGTGTCCATAGTTTAGGCCTTAATGTCCGCCTATTTTTGGCGCATTTGCAAGGTTTTATTAAAACGGATCTGCGAAGCTTAAAACAATATTAATTCTACTGTTCTATATACCATTTTGTTTGGAAAATCATGGGCTTCAATATTATACATAAAACATAAGGAACATTAATCAATATTTTCAATTCGATAGTTTCAACCGATATTAGCATAGCCCAATTAAGAAACTGTACCCTTTGTTTCAACAAAATTTTTAGGTAAAAAAAATATTTTGGAAAATTAAAAAAAAAAATAAGTTTGCGCTCAATGAAGTTGTACAAATTATAGGCCTATAAATATTTGAAAATAGCCACTTTGTTCTAAATTTTATGAGGATTACAAATATATAGTAATATAAGGAAGTAGATTTGCAAATAAATAAGTTATGGGCAAAAAACAGATTTCAGTACATAGCGTTTAGCTAAGAATGCATAGCCTAACCATAGCTAGGAATCTGGCTGATAATTTACATCAATATCACTAACCTACTTCTTCAGGATCATCAACTAGCCCTTCAAAATCACTTAAATCTTCTTATAATGCACCACGTATATCACTACTTTTGATTTTTAACACTAAAACAATGATAAAAGTAATAAAACACATCAGTCATCGGTCCGAGGTTAACCAAGCTGTTTACAAATACACACGTCAGCTATCTGCTACAATATTTTCGGAACTAAAATGAATAGCGCTTAGAGACAGACCTCCGGAGAAAGCTCTGAATCTAACAAAAAGAACGATACCTAACTCGATCCAGTTCAATCCGATTCAGTCAGTCATAGAGCCTTCGCCGTAAACGATGTTCGTGTGTCGAAAAATCGACAAGTGACACTACACGAAGTGTGTCGTGAGTCGATTTTTCGACTAGTGACGCTCGGAGGGTTAATAGATACACCTTTACTCGGGTCTCAATAAGCCTAAAACAAGCTTACCAATTAAATTTTAACATTTAAAAAATATCTGTAGGCCTACGCCTAGGCCCTAGTCTATTTCTTGTTCCTTTTTATTGGATCACATACTGAAATCCCTTCACATGACCAAAAATCATCTTTAGGAAAACAGTGTGGTGGTTAAAAGTTAAAGCGAGACTCATTCAAACATAAGTTAAGTAAAAAAAAATAATAAATAGCCTACAGCATTGATCCCTCTGATTGGGCCTAGGCCAACTGCTACAGCATTGATCCGTCTGATTAGGCCGAGGCCAACTGCTACAGCATTGATCCGTCTGATTAGGCCGAGGCCAACTGCGTCAAGATGAAAGTGTAGACGGTTGATAGGCTTGTCGCTGAATTGTATTTAGCTTTGGAAAGTAGGTGCCTTGCTCAAATCACATTATGTGATTTGAGTACTTAAAGGCATTTGACTGTGTCTCACATGATGTTCTTTTTAAGAAACTTGAATTCGATGGTGTTAGAGATTGTGATCTAAATTTTTTCAAGTCATATTTAACAGGCAGATCTCAGTTGGTAGATATTAGGGGAAATGTTTCTTAAGTTTCAGAGGTCAAGCATGGTGTACCGCAGGGGTCAATATTGGGGCCCATTTTATTTTTGATATTGATAAATGATGTTAGCTTTAATCTGGACTGTTTTTCTACTGTATATGCAGATGATACATCATTGGTCTCTTATCATAATAACCCTGATGTACTAAGTAATATGGTCAAAGATAGTTTTGAAAGAGCTGTGTATTGGTTTACTGTCAATGGGCTTTTTATGAATGAAGAGAAAACTAAAAACATGCTTGTGTCTATGACTAATAACAGATCAAATCAAAACCTGGAAAGTAGTGTAACACTGTTGGGAATTTCTATTGATAGTAAATTGTCATGGAAGAATCATATTGAATTAGTTTGTAAAAAATTATCAAGAGTGATATGTTTATTGTGTAAGTTAAGAAAAATGTTACCTGACGTTTATTTAAAGATGGCTTATTATGCATTCTTTGAAAGTATATTGAGGTATGGTTTGGTATATGGTTTTTATAATATTGTCTGGGGTAATGGCATTGGTATCGATGATGTCTTGATATTACAGAAAAAAGCAGTTAGACTTATAACTGGTTCATCTTTCCCGGCACATTGTAGGCCTTTGTTTGTGCAAACAGGTATTTTGACTGTGATTAATCTTTACATTTATGAAGTTATAAGGCTAGTGAGAAAAGATATTGATAAATAAGTTATATGTCTAGGACTGATGTTCATGATCACTTTACTAGGTTTAGGAACAAAATTGACATATCTAGATGTAGATTGACAAGAACACAAAAGTATCATCACACTCTAGGTTTAAAGCTTTACAATAAACTGCCAAACTACGTTGTAGATATTACTAGTGATAAGGTATTCTTTGAAATTCTGTATAAATGGCTCCTAGAAAACCCAATGTACCAGATTGATGAGTTTTTAAATTCTGAAATAGTTATTTGAATATGCTGTCATCCTACATAGCTTTAAATAGAAAATAGTATTAGCTTTAAAGCCTGACACTTGTTTAGACTAATTTGACGAGATCTATTGTAAACAATGTATTTACTTAATGGTCAATAAATTTCTTATTCTTATTAAAAACTAGGCTATTTAACTCATACAACAAACTTAAGCTAGGCCTATAGCTTATTTTCATTTTTGTTTTTTTTAAATTTGATTAGGTTATATAACTTGAATAAATTTAAATAACTTTAAATTTTTTGTAGTACAGTTATATAGGCCTAGGGCCTATGAACTCATTTTAGGCCCATTAAAAGTTGTGTGGTCTGGCGAGAACATTTATCCATGGAACACATTTGAATTTTTTATTGTGCTTACAGTTTGTAATTGTTATTTGCAGTAACGGTGATGTTTAGTACTTACTATATAAATACCCAGGGCCCGCAGCTTTGGAAGGTAAAAAATTTAACAATGTTATCGGCAAACCGCATATGAATATTTTACGGAAAACTTGTATACATTTACCTTATCAATTAGGCCTACAATGACTAAGTTATTGTAAAGAAGGGCAATCTATAGCTTCGTTTTATTCATTAAATAAATACCGTTATTTAATATACTACTCGTAAGTTACTATATTACTAATTTTACATCTGGCAAGTGACTTGTTGGCAATACTGCGAGTCCGGGACACACACTGCGCATTCGCCCACACGCCTCACCTACACTTGCTTGTTTCTATCTTCAAAGCTCAAACTCTTTCGTCAACTCATAGTCGTTTTTGATGTCCGTTGTGAGTCGTCATAAATTCAATGTTTTTAGTAATTTAGTTCAGTGTAGTTGTTACGTTACGATTAGCTCAGTGTTGTGCGAATTTGAACTGTGAATATAGACGTGGTTTTGATGATATGCTAACAGCGTAACATTACTAAGTTAAGTTAACATGGTTTAGGCTACATTGACCATCTATGGACCCTTTCATATATTTAAACAAACTCAATACTGTATGTAGAGGGTTTATAAAAAATACTTGCAAAACGTTCGATATTGATATATCGTACGTTGGGTTTATTGACCCCCAAATACTTTTTTTGGGGAGGGGGCGAAAATTTAAATCTCGCCCCGGGCGTATATTACCCTCGGGGCGGCCCTGTAAATACCTTTAACTTATGTATTTCTTTCATTTAAATTATTTTAACACTGTCTTTATTTTAACACATAAGTTAATAGGCCTATAGGATTAAGTTATTTGACCCTATAATAACATAAAATGTTGTAATTTCTTTCCAAACCATTTTGTAGAGCTTTAAAAAAATAGGCTAATTTAGTTTGTTGAAGCGTTTACGCTTAACAGGTTTAAGTAGAAAAAAACAACTGTACCGGTAAATTTAAAGTTCCCACGTTATTGTTGTAGCCTAGACAATATGTAAACTTAAACCGGCCTGTAAACTAAACTAACTAGGCTTATTGATATTTCACTAAAATACCCCCGCCACAGCAAACCTGCAGACTAAGCGAATTTCCATTTGCCTGAATTGATTTTAAATTAAATCTATTTAAATAACATTAGTTTAACCTAGGTTTGCTGCTGCAGGGAGGCTAAAAACTGTTTTTTAGTAAAATAATAATAATTTAGAATAAAATAAATAAATTTGCTAGTTTTGATCAAAAACTATCCATAAACAAGCAAACTACATGTTACAATATTCTCCAGAAGAATGAGGTGGGAATTTTATATTAAGTTTTTTTTTTATTTTATCCGTAACCAATAACCGTACAAAAACTCTTTAGTCTTTAATATACTAAATTATTTGTTTTTGAAGCTCTTTATAAAGGTCCTGAGAGAAATTGGGAAATTTTGTGTTTTGAGGGTCAAAAATGAGAAAACCCAATTTTACCCCATAAAGTCCTCTGTAAAACCCTTTTACCATGGTCCAATCATGCTGGTTTGAGAACTCATTCAAGTTTATCCCGCATTACACCTTTACCTAAACCAAATGTTATCAAAATGGGACAAAAGCTCTCAAGTTATCGCGTTTACGGACACATATATAAATCCATAGGGTATACATATATAACATTTTGAACGGTTGGCGTTTTTGGCCTCTAGGCACATCAAAATGAAAAAGAAAACTGGTCCCGGGCCTTGACGCCTACGGTAATATCTACTTCACTTGTAGGGAAATTTGCTATAACACTTTATCATCTTTGCTGCCGCAGCAAACCTAAGTAACTTGTTAAACTAAAGATAGTCTATTTAAATATGGTTATAAATAGGCTATGCCATTTTTAAGGACAT